ACTTAAGTCTCATCGATCCGGATTTCAACAACACTATTTTCAGCTGTTCTTGAGGAGAGGATTGATGAGTTGAACGGAAATTTTTCGCTTAAAATTTGATTTATGTATAAGGATATCAAGAAAAATGAACAACCATCACACAGATTGAATGATGTGTCTGATTGTGATTGTGAAATTTATCAACGTGTGGATTGCTGCTCAAAATGATGTGTGTATATTTAGGGAGTGAGGTCAGCAATGAAATTTCAGGATGATTGCGATGGTAACTTTTGCAGAAAAGGTGAACGAACTGAATATTGAGGATTTCAAGCGACGTTTTCGACAGATTCAATTACGCGGTGCATATCCGAGTAAACTAACGAAAATCGCACACGAACAGAACACAGTGAAGTGTCGTTATAATGGTCAGTTATGCCATTCCACTCTCACAAGAGCATTCAAGTCTAAAAACTGACATTGCTCGACTTTGTTCACGAACATTGCCATCTTACCATTTTCACTTACTGATCACTGATAGTTTCTCCACTTTATTTCTCTTTTCTAAACTCGACAAAAATTTCTGATCAACTGTCACACCATGCGATCACACTGTGCGTCATCGTGAAAACAAGTCACCCTGAAAATTAGGATAAACACTCCAGCAAAGAATTGTGTATTGAGATGACACAACAGCATTCATATCTGAAGAGTTCTCGAATAGGAGACATCTCGATGCAATACATTTTCAAGGATTGAAAGTGCCGTTCTGTAGTGAGCACTGAATTGTATTTTGTTTACAGATATCGTTTGCTTAGATGATAGTCGAGTTATACTGAAACCAATGCCAAAATTCAGTGGTGATTTCATTCATGCCAGTTGGGTAACACACGAATTCCTTGGTAAAAAGTTCATTTGCACGCAGGTACTCACAACTCCTTCGCTCTACCGAAAGTAACTTTCATAAACGATTCACATGCTTCAGTAAAAAGAAGCGCTTGACATAGCATCTTCACATACCGCTACAATTAATATT